TATATATATATATATATATATATATATATATATATATATATATATATATTCCAATCCAACTCAGTTGCTGATAAGAACATAGACGGGAATCTACATGGTTTAAAAAAAAGTACCGCTCGTAGGTCATGCGAGCACAACAGTTCAGTCAAAAGTGAATCCCACTGCTCGAAGCTGGGCTATAAAAGACCCATCTCGGGCCACATCTGGACACAGTTGAATTCTGCAACTCAAAGTATTCGCAACTTCAGCAAAGATGACTTCTAAGAGGTGTTTGGCTCTGCTGCTGCTGCTGGTCAGTTGCCTGGCAGCTCTGGCGACTGCTCGGCTGGACTTCCCCGAAGCAGGACCTGGCTCTCCCAGTGTCCGGATAATACGTCGCGAGCGTTCGCCCCAGCATGGCTCGGTGGTGGTGACGGCCAGCAAGGATCAGGCCGGCCGCCAGGCGGGCGTTCAATACAATCACAATCTCTATACCAGTCGTGATGGGCGTGGCAGCATCGATGCCTACGCGAATGCCAATAGAAACTTTGACCAGAATCGCAATAATTTCGGTGGCGGCGTGCAAGGCAGCTGGCGTTTCTAATAAACGATATTCAACGAATTCATATGATCGACGATAATAATAAAGTGCAAATAGATATAGAAGAGCCGTGACTATTTACTTAAATCGGAATTGTGTCAGAGAATCGTGATTTATGTTCCAACTGCTAATTTCTGATTTGGAAAAAGTCCACAGATTATGCTGAGAGGTCTCTCTGAGGGCATTCCTCTGATAAGAAAGTCTGAGATGCATGGAACATAAAATAAATGGAATATAAGTCTATATAATACATTGTGTTTGGCAGATAAGACACAGACAGAAAAGTTGTTGGTGCTCCAATTGAAACACTTCCAATGTAGACCCAAGACTCAAACCTGAGGAAGTCTTTAGAATATCCCCAAGTCTATATAGAGAGACGCCTATGTTGGAGCATATCAATAAAATGCATTGGCTATTTACTTAGAGCAGTTGCCAGAAGCAACAAAAACAAAGCAGCTTATAGGGAAAAAATAATAAAAAGGGGAAACATAAAAAAGGAAGGCTTAGTAAGTCAACTAGACAAGCAGACTTTTAAATACTCTTGAAAGTCCATCTCGTTTGTATGCAGAGCAAGACAGGAGATTTTAGCTGAAGTGAAGACATATATAGTGTGACCCAGTCTGGCAACACTGTCACTTATTAAGTTGGCTGTGCTGTAAAGCGCGATGTTTCTATTCAGATATGAGGTAGATTTCCATATAAGAACTGCCAGCTTTTACCTTTAGCTAATATGCCCAACGGCAGCTGTCTCTTTTAGAGTATACGAAGAAGTACTAAAAGTCATGAGTCGTTGGGTTCAATGCACTCGACGCTGGCGCTGACGTCGTTGTGTAACCAATAAAAATTGATTCTGTTGTTGCGTGCGGGCGGGGGCGGCTCACAGGGGCAGCAACAACAAATACACTGTGAGAAAGTCTGGACTGCACTTTGGGGTTGCATTCGGTTTTATTGCTCGTTTCTGGCAGTGCACACACACACACACACACACACACACACATACCAACACATAGACAAACACTGAATGGGAACTTATCTAGAAAGAAACGGCGCACATTAAATGCTCGCATGCACAAATATAGGGGGTTGGAGCGGGGTTCTTGATGATTGCATGACTAACAGTAATTACTTTCGCTTTCCGTTTACTCAGCTGGCTGATCAATAAGTGTAAAAAGCGAGCCTCATTCAAGAATTTGAAGCAATGAAATGCCCAAATGCTTGACCCCGCTCTCTAAATTACAATTGAGACACAAATTCCGTGAATTATTTTCGGGAAAGTGTAGTTGGTGGAGGGGAAGGAAAGTCAGGGGCAGGGGCAGGGACAGGGCCGAGCCGAACGGAGGGTGTATACGAAAAGGAGGCAGCTGCATAGCAAATGACTTTCCATTTTCATTTAACAATAAGCAATCAATTGCAAATAACAACAACAACAACAACAGCAGCAGCAGCAACAAATGCGAGTCGGGCTGCAAGTTCAAAGCAAAGCTAACGATCTATTAGAAGAAAGTAAAAACAACTAACAAAACACAATGAGAAGACAAAGGCAGAGACGCCTCCTACACACCAGGTGAGACAGCCAGGTGAGCAGCCAGGTGAGCAGCCGGGGCGCAGCTGTCAGCTGATGCCAATCAGACAAGGCAGTCGAGAGGCAAAGTGAGAGCGAGAGAGATGGGAAATGGGAAAATCCGTGTGCCGTTAACTGGTTTTCATTTTGGGCTTGGAAAAACCAACGCTCGTTGCCATTTTTAGTGGCAAAAACGCGGCGACTGCATCATAATGAAAGTGAAATGCATTGCGCAGATGGCAGCGCGATGCCAGTTACCAGATACATACATACATATACAGCGAAAGAAAGACAGAGAGAGATAGTGACAGTGATAGAGAGAGGGAGAAAGAGATAGTGCTAGAGAGAGTGGGAGAGCGAGTGAGATAGCTAGACTGTGGCAAGTAAGTCAAGTGCAGTTTGCCGTTTGTTGCAGCATGAAGTGCCACAGACACGCACTCCAAGCACACACACACACACACACACGCACACTACAACTGCTACTTATGGTAAGAAACTTGCGCGGAATGCAAGCGCAACAAGCGCAGGCGCGTCATCGACTGCCGCAGTCGCTGACTTATTTGGCATTTAACGTTAATTGGCAAGAAAAGCGTTTGCCTGCCGATTTGCATACACATTGATGAATTATGTCAACGCCAAGCAGCAACAGCAGCATCGGCAGCAGCACCCACACAGCTGCAAAGATACAAATGTATCTTTATACATATGCCATGCATAAGCACTTCAATGTCAGATCAGTATTGAAGGCCGCTTGCAGTTTTCTCTGCACTTGAAGTTTTTATCTGCTGCGTACAATACAAAGATACATGCATTTACTTATCGATATTGCACAGACACACATGCACACATGCATATACATACATATATTTATGTATCTACATGTGAATGGGATCTGTGTGTTATTGGTTCAATAACATGCCTGACATTGAGAGCTGCCGCTGCTGCTGCTGCTGCTGTTTATTCGTGTTGCGGTAGGGCTAAGGACAATAAAGCACTTCGATTTAAATTGCACATTCTTGCAGCTTAGGTATTACAGCAAAACTTGTTATAAGCGCACCAGGTTTAGCCTCTAACAATTCATGCAGCTGCTTAACTACAGAGAGCTAACGAACTAGTTCCTGTGTATCGATCACATCTCTAACCATTTAGAATATTGCAATTCAGCTAAGCTGTCGAACCAGGTGGCAGCGCTAAGAGCAAAGTTCACAGAATGTCATTTATCGATGGCTGTGGGCATATAATAACATAAGTATTTAAATATGTTTGTCTCATCTCTAACATCTAACATAAGTATTTAAATATGTTTGTCTCATCTCTAGTCGAGTATTTTTAAAAGTTACAGCTTTTGCCATCTCCAAGAAGAAATGATATTTAATTGTAATTGCATCCCCATAAGTTAACCTCTATTTGTAAGCCAAAATGAATAATATGCATAGCTAAAGCATAAAAAACACAGTCAGAGAACAACAGCAGCAGCAACAACAACAACAACAACAGCAACAATGCAACAACAATTCACTACCTTTTGCTTGTACGTCGGTTACATTTCACTGATTTTGAAAGTGAACGTTTGTGCGAGGCGGAATCGGAATTGGCATCACGACTTGGCTGACTCGCACAGTGGGGCAGATGCAAATAGTCAGGCAACCATTGTCGTGATTTGTTGTTATCATTTGCACACAATGTTGTTGTTGTTGTTATTGTCGCGTGTCTTCTGCTGATAAGCCATTGAATGCGATTACTAAAACGCAATGGCGAATGCATTCCACACGTAAAACCGAATCAAAAAACAAGTTGTAACTTGACCCACGTTGTTGTTGCTACACTGTGGGCTGTTGCTGTAGTTGTTGTTGTTGTTGTTGAATCAACAGCAGCGTGGGTGAAATCCAAGAGATACGAGATACATATATGATTTTTGGCATCGCATTTGCTGCTGCTGTTTTTACTTTTCCAACGCGCCTACAAATGATTTATAATATTTTTATAAAAGCAGAAATACCCTGTAAAGTGTATTAGAGAAGGTATAACATGCTTACGTATCTCTAGCTAATGCCTAAGCGAGGTAAACTAATATTTACATGCATTTTATAGGGTATCTTATAGCTGCGTATCTTCATGCACCTTAAGTGAATTTGTTTTTGGGCTGATTTTTTTTTTGTTTTGCAAATACAGATACAATTTTGGCTTGCTTATCTCTTGAGTTACATATTTGTAGCGTCTGCGTCTACCGGATAGACAGCGACAGCAGCAGCAGCGACGAAGACGGCGACGACGCTGCGTAGGCAGCTGCATCAGGTTGACCCAGTTTTCGCTTTTCATACTCAGCCAGGCAGGCAGGCAGGCAGGCAGTCGAAGAGGCGAAAAGACGGGGCTCGTCTTTGTATCTGGTGCGGAATCGTCTTGTTTAATTTTTTTTTTTTGTGAAAATTATATATGAAATGCAATTTTTAAGTAGACTTGTTTTATGTTTGTGCATTAATTTATGGCATTTTGATGTTGTTGCTGCTGCTGCTGCTGCTTAAGCTCGTAAATCGCTCAACGACGCTCAATCAATTTAACACACATTTTGCACAAGTAAACCCCATTGCAGTCGCCCGTCCATCCTTCACCCACCGCCCAGACGCCATTTATTCAATTGACTGCCACGTAACCCGATATAAAGGAGATATATGTATATATAAGAATAATTCCTACTAAACTAGTTTTTGCCTTTGATTGCATATTCTTGTCTCGTTGACAATTTGCCACAATTTGCGCTTGCCACATTGTTGCAGCGGCACAATGAGACGCAAATCAAGCGCATGCATGTGTTTTACTTTAGCAGTTGCTCGCAAATTATGCCAATTGCATGCGGCACAAGTGGCGTATACGTGATTTGGACAAATATTGCGCATACGCCAAGTTGGCAGACGCCCATCTAATTATATACATACATATGTACGTACGGGGGTGCGGCTGGCACGCCATTTAAATTACAGCTATAGCTATATATATACATATATGTATGTGTAGTAGTATATATATGTAGTACTTAAATCGTATTTCACGAGAAATCAGCAACAAAACTCAACATTTTCTTATGAAAAGTCAATTTTATGCATATTTAATAACACCCAAAATTTATTATGTGAAATGTGAAACGCATATGTGCACAGCCAAGCTATAAATACTTATATATGTATTTACATTTCATAGCTGTCTATATATAGCAAACATTATTTAAAGCACTTTATCCATTTGCGTTCAACAATGAATAAATAGCAACAAAATGCAGCAGTTGAAATCATACAAATCGGCCTCACATTAAATGTGGGTTGTTAGCTAAACACACACACACACACACACACACACATTCAATCAATCACACTCTCATACACACACACACCTTGTCAAGGTAGGCTCGTCCCAAGTCAATGCACTTTCACACACAATTGCATTAGTCGAGCCTGTTGCCTGTCTGTACGTATGTATCTGTGTGTGTGTGTGTGTGCGTGTTAAGTTTTGCAATATTTTCATTTTCATTTTCATTTCGAATTTTAATTTCATTTTCGTTTCGCTGCGGCGCACTCTCTCGATGCGCTAACGTCGACGCTGGCGCCGGCGTCACGCTGCGCTGCTTTCGCGTCTATGCACAGCGTCGCAGTCGCAGCGCGGCGCAACTGCTGCATTTTACTGATCAATTTC